TGTCATATTTAAAATTTAAAATGTTTAACCATTGCTCATCCCGAGTCCAGCCCGAATCAAATCCGAGTTGAACCTCGGTTAAGCCAGGCCCGCGCCCTGCTAAAAAAAAAGGTTGCATCGATTTTGTCTTAATCGCTTGCGCGCGAAACCATAACAATATGGGTGTCCTTCCTAGCTAAAGTTGACGTTCCGAACGCGCCTGCATGGTCTGTTTCGTCATCCGGGGTCGTTCGGACAAGTTCGTCGATGGGCGAGCCAAAAATGTGTCAACTTCGTGCGTAGTGTAGCGATTGCGTGAATTGCGGCGTTATCGAGCGTTTAGGTCACAATAATTTTCCTAGGGGCTGCTCCTATTAATGTAGGAACCCAACTCAAGTTTCATGTGGCGGTTCTAACCAACTCAGCAAGATGCTGAGGATTCGGGACCGCCCATGCGAAGCTCGGAGTAGTGACGAGGTGGCTAGAATTTTCTAAATGGTGTGAGTCCGGTATTAGTCCTCTAAGAGGGTCAAATAAAGAGAACCTAAGGCTAGACCCTAGGCTCTAAGGAGAGAAGTAAAGTCCTCAACCAACAATGAGGTCAACAAGTATTAAAAGGATAGCTTAACTATGACAAATATAAAATAAGTAATAAACACATAATTAACTTGAATTTAATAAGTAATTATTATTTATATTGATTGATTATTTATGATTTTGTTAAGGACAATTATGTTTGTTTTACTATTAAATTATAATAATTAAGCATGGGATAATTAATTAATCACTTAATTAATTATAATATAAATAATTATAATTAATTATTTCGGGGATTTGCATTCATACCACGAAATTCTTTTTCTGTTACTTATCTAATTCTTAATCTTTATATTTATTTACAAGACATTCAATTCTCAGGATCATATAAAAAATTTGATTGACATTAATTTATTTAAAATAAAACATGCATTTTCATGTATATGTTTTGATGTGATTTAGACACTAAAACGGTATAGAAGTAAATATAGATATTTAAGCCTTAGGCATGTAAATGCATAATAATTTTGAGGTATGTTTGTAAATATCCCTAGTTATTTTTTTTAAGATAATTATGATACTTAAGAATAGTGTAATTAATTGTTCAGTTAATTGAAAATTCTATTATTCAATTTTTTTAATTAAGAAAATTCTAATTTAAGTTTATGATAGTTTAAAATAGTTCAAATTTAAAATATACTTAGGATAATTTATGTCTAATCATAAATTTTAATATTGCTTATTTTAAATAAGCAGGCGAAAATCAACATGTAAGCACAGATTTTTTTTTCTTGGCTTAAAACAATTCATCTTTTCTTGCAACCAAATTGCTTAAATCTGCTTAAAAGCTAAGCTTAAGATTTATTTTGCTTTTCTTATGCCCATAATATTTATTAAAATTTTACTAAGAAATCAATAACATTTGAGTTATTTTGCTACCGTGATGTAGATCAATCATTAGAGAGACAAATGACGAGATATATTATTGCATCCAGTCCAATTATAGGAGCGCATTTTCTGTCCGGACTTCTGACGTAGCTCTACATGCCGCAGAGGTTATTCCTGAGTTATTTTCAGGTTATTTCTGGGTTAGAAATAACCCAAAAATAAAGATCGCGGGTTATTTTAAAATTATTGAAAATAACCAAAAAATAACCTGAAAATAACTCAGGAATAATTTGCGCAGAACATAGAGCTACGTCAGGAGTCCGCACAGAAAAATTAGGCCAATTATAGAGTATATTGACAACCTAACATAAATTTCTATCTGGTCTTAAAGTTTTGAATACACACACGGATATATATATGTCTGTGTGTGTGTGCGCGCGCGTGTAACTATTCCTCTACTTGGCACATGTGAATCATTTAATAATAGTCACCTCTAACCCTTTTACAGAACATATCGTATCATTAGCATAATTTTTGAAGGAAAACTCATGTATAATTTAAACAATAATTAATTGAAAGTAAGATTACTAGCCTTTGTTAACCATTCATTCTGTGATTCATATTAGCTCCGTCATAACTTGATGCATAATTCAAAGATTATAGGAATCACCCCCATCTGGCCCTTCTTTCATCAACTATAATGATTGATGAGTATAGCCAATTATTAGCATTAACACCAAATGGAGAAAGTAAACATCTTTCATAAGGTTTTTCTAATTGAGATACATCAATGCTCAATAGTGGTCTACATTCACTCAATTGTTTCCAAATTGGGACACCAAGATGAGTGAAAAATAAAATAAAAATAAAAAATCATTATTCTATTTGGGAGGTTAGTATCATATGCAAGTATTATCACTTGTCATCTTAGTGAGGCTTTTAAGTTGACTTTTGCAATTTGTTTAATGATAATTCTTAAGTTTCCCTGCAATCATCTTCATTTGCCTCTATTTGAATGGATTTTAGCATTTGTGTTGCATGTCTTTGTTTTTCATTTTAGGATTTGCATACAGAAGCTTTTTAAACTCTACCGTTATCATTTTTTTTATTAACAACCTTTGCAGTTATGTTTTTTTTTTTTTTAATAATGTAATCATGCATTTTTTATGCATGGATCCTTCATTCACATCCTTTAGAGGAAATTTTGTGGTATATTTTATATCATCTGTTATCTTCTATGATTCAATTTCTTCTTTTAATAATATATTTCTCAGATCTCTTTTTCATGTTGTACATTTTCAAAGCGTCAACTCACCCAAGCTACTCATCATTAGTGTTTTGGTAGGGAATACCATTCAAAGCTATCTTCTTGTTCGTCTTCTACTTGTTTAATTTTGTTCGATCGTTGGATGCTTCATGTTGGCCAACAACAAATTTCTTGTATTCTCATAGGGGTACGATCTAGTGTCTTTGTTTTCATTGTCCAAGTTGTTGTCATTTGGGCAACTAGTTTCTTGGTCAATCACATAGTTCTCATCATTATTGTTTTTTCCCTTTGACTTAACAATGGCATTTATTCTTCCACTTTGCGCTTTGAGGTGCTACCTGCAACCAATGTTCCCTTCCTATAAACTTGTAAGAATTCGCTAGGATTTGGAAAACTAATAACAAGTATCTCCCTCCTCATGCACATGCCATCTACATTTAACTAAAATTTTCCATCCACAACCCCCACAACAACCTCGCCTCCCCTTGTACCTTTTGTCCATTTATGTTAATTTATTATGCTTTTTAATATTATATTGTATAAATGTTCACTTTACATCAGTTGTCCCTGACTTACTAGGTTCAACAAAGACGATCAAGATATCAATCAAGAAGTTGCACTATTGCTAGTGTAGGCATTACCATGATTATTCATTTTATTCACAACTAATAAAATGTCACTCTGCAAACGTCATAATACAAATGGAATGAAAAGTGCTCATTGGCTATATCTATAGGCCTGCATACTCCCACTCCCTATTAAGTTTAAGCTAGTTTAAGTGAGCATGAAGGAATAATTTTGCAATCATCTCTTTCGCACATGTTGTTCAAAAATTTACAAACCTTAAAAGCTATTGATAAATGAGATAAAATCGGGGAAAAATAGATGGTAGTGTAACCTCTTGGGTCCAAATTTGTATGATGAGGGGTCATCGGATTAGTACTCAGGAAAATTTGGTATAAGTTATTGCTCGCGAACTGTGTTAATTTTAGTTGGAGTACATATTTACTTATTGCAAACTTTTCCTTTTAGGAAACTCTCATGTCTTCTTTTTCCTTACTATGCAACACAATAACTATGAGTTTTTTGGTGTATATGGATCATTAAGTGCAAGGGTTGAGAACTACCGATAGTCTTTGTTTGCTTTCCTCAACTGGATCTCATAGCTCATCTCTTAAGTTAATGTCGTTTTGGAATATAAAATATTTTTAATGAATCTTGCAAAAGAGGATCAAGATGAATGCATAATCAAATTAAAGGATCCAATTGTAAGGTTTTAAACAAAATATGAATATTGTGAAGCTAGTTTTGAAAATCTTGGCCTTGAGAACCTATGTGTAATTTACTCTAGATTTTGTCATTACCCTCTTTTGCTATGTTTCAACTATTTAGGGCCAGTCTTATAACATTCTTCTGTCATTTCTACCGAGTGCTACATTAGATGTATATTTTATTTTGCTCAAGATGTTTTTGCACATGTTATTTTTGGTTTACCTCATTTTCTTTATGATCTTTCTCACATTTATTCTATTCATACTTTTTCATATAGCTTCTACCCTTTAAAACAAAGGACCAAGATGAGTGCATAATTGAACTCTAGGACCCATTTGGAAGCTTTAAAAAAAGGGCATTAATTTGAAGCAACCCGCCAACCCCATGGCTTTAGGAGCTTGGTTGTAACTTCATATTTTATCATCTTCTTTGAATATGTCCCAACTATTTGGGGCGAGTCTTATACAACCCGTTCATTCATTTTTGTTGAATGTTATTTACTTTTTTTTTTCTCAAATTTTTTAAGCTCGTCTTCTAGCCATTTTATTTTTTGTCTATTGCATTTTCTACCTAATCTTTTTATATTTACTCTATATATCTTTATTCATGTATCCTCTTTCATTTATCGTACATTCCAATACCTACCAAGATTATTCTGTACTACATTTACTTCATTTGGTGCTATGTCTAACATTTTGTTGAAAGTCATTTTTTGTTTAATCCTTTCTAGTTTTGCCATACATTCATTTTTATTATGATTTCTCCTTACTCGCATGAGTTGGCCATCTACAGCTTTGATAGTGCACAACTGTTGGATCCATAGAATTATTTGTCTAATTTTGACTTTTTAAATTCCACCATTGATGTCATGTTCTCTTTTACATTTTATTTTTTATACACATTTTTGTTTTATCCAAGCAGCTAACTGTAGAAATTATGCCCTCTTTATAGTCTATTTTTTGGAATTAACCTCATTGCTCGCTACTTATGATATTCACCATTGTATAATATATTTTATTTTATATTTTGTGAAATCTTATATATTTTGTTTTTTTAGTTAAGCATAACTTTCTCAATCTGCAACCAACTACCATTCAACCCTTCAGGTGATGGTTACTGAGATGCACTTAATTTTTAATGGTCGTGAGCTGATATGATTCTTCCAAAATTTGGAAGGATTTTGAAAGTCAACGCATGAACATTGCAAACCTTTTAATTGCTCTCGCAGGTCCCACTACTCTTGTTCTTTACACTCTTTGCCATTAATATTGTTTCTCTTTTTTCATAGGTCGAAGTTTATTTTTTTCTTGTGTTGACTATCAAATGCATTAGGAGCTGCCTTTGTTTTGTTACTTGGATCATGTGGTATACTTCTCTTCATTGCAAATTATGTCCATTTTCCATATTCTATTCATATTCGATGGGTGCTATCTAATGTAATTGTTTCAATACTTACATGATTCATTTTAGTCAGTTAACCAATGGAACCTACTTATGAGTGGTTTTTGGATAGCTCATTTTGGAAACTACATTTTTGTTTCTTCAAAAATGATTATATGCTTGCTACCTGATTTTATTTACTGCCATATTATTGAGTATATCTGTTTAAATCTTTTGAATTTGTTAAGAACGCAGATCCATTGTATGTAAGTAAACATAAAGATAAATTATTGAATGTGTTAAAAAATAGACTCCTAAAATATTTTTAAATATCTATCTCATAACTTCACGGTAGTTGTATAAATTACAGCACCCAAGAAGTCCAGAAATTACCAGAAGAGAAAAGAAATAGCAGTTTCAAATGTTTTGCTATGTAATTATTATATCTGCCATGTTAATGAATTCAATTTTCTTTTTGAATTTGATTTTGTTAGAAAGCAGATTCTCTTTTATGCAAAGAAAGGTTGAGATAAGTTATTACCTATGATAAAAAATTGTCTTTAAAGTGTCTTTTTGATAAATATCTATTTCATCAACTTTAGTCATTTTTTAAATTACAGTCACTCAAGATGGCCTGACATTACCAGAAAAAGGTGCTTGTTTTGTACAGTATTTAATTTAGTGATATTCCATAAAGAGAAGGGAGGCACATAAGGTGAGATTAAGTACTTTAATTTCCATCTTTATCCTTTAATTTATGGCATCAATGCAGCATGATCCAAATTTAGGAGTGTTAGTTTCGAGAAAATTTAGATTCATGCAAAACACCAATCCAACGTTTAGGGCTCTTTCACGGTGGTTGGTGTATATTGTCAAGGGTTTTGTTGAATGGAGGAGGAGATTAAGTTCTGATGAATTGAATGAGATAATATTAGATTAGATCGGATATGCCATCCTTAGATCTCTTTTTGGATTAATTGGTTTCTAGTTGCTTTGGTCTAATTGGAATTTTTTTTTATTCATCTTTGGTAGAGAGTATAACTAGGGAAGTAAAGTTCGTGAGAGTAGGGGTCGCAGACAGTGGATAGAGTATTGAGGAATTTGAGAACTTCTTTGCTTTAAATATGTTATCAAAATGAATTACAACGAAGGAATGGTCTACTTGTGGACTCAATATAACAAATAATTTAGTTCTATTTATAATTATAATCATAAGAAGTTCAAAATTCATAAAATCGAGCTTATTCCTCTTTATCCTTATATTTGTCATTGACCTTAAGGTGGAGAGAAAGGATTGTGACGGGTGTAAGAAGTGATAAGCTGTTTAGTTATTGATTTATATCCTCTTATGGGGTTCACTTGTTTAGTTTGCTGTCCTCCTATGCAATACATTAAAGTTGAAGCTTACCTTTTCTCATTTATGCTCATCTCCTTGTCTAGATGATAATTAAATTAATTTGGGTCTAGATTGCCGAAATATTGTACATCATCCAGGTCCTCTAAGGTAGCCTCGTTAACTTTTTTAGCCATCTAATATTGAAAGAATTTGCTATGTTATGGATCCCCTTTGGCTGATTTGTTCTTGCTAGGGCTATAAATGAGCCAAGCTTCTTGGTTGAAATTAATTTTGTTCGAAATTGCTTGTGAACAGTGTGTTCGTGTTGGGCTCCATTTACATATTTTTGTTTATGTTCAACTCAAAATTGGCTCGTTTAAATTAATTAGAAAAATAGATGTATGGTGTTAGATTCAATCTCGCACCATTCATATGCAATAAAAATAACATAACCACATTACCACACTAGCTGTGCTAATTTAAACTTAATATATATATATATAATTTTATAAATAATATATATAATTTCCTTACTTCGAGCTAAAACGAGCTAAACACGATTGAACAAAGGGTTGTTCTTGTTTGGCTCGCTTACTTAACAAATGATTCTAACATGACCTACTTAAATAGTTGAACATGAGCTGCTTGCGAACATGAAGGATGCTTTTTTCGGTTGGTCGAGTCCTTCCACTCTATTGTTGTCACCTTTGCATGTTTTGTTCTTCTTTCTGACTTGGAATGGAAAGGATGTTACTTCTAGTCTTGCTTAGGTTGCAAGGCTGCTGGAGAATGTGTTTAGTTCATTAGTTGTGGATGAATAGTGCTACTGTAGTTTCTCGGAGTGAGGGTTCTACAACTCTTACAAAGACTCACTAATCTTTTGGTTTGCCTGACAGTCTTCAAATCACTCGGTGGTGGTGGAATGGGCTTGCTGTCTACATTTTAGGATGCAATGCGTGAGGCTTTATTTTTCCTTCAAAGTATAAAGTGCACAACGAACAAACACTTTTATTAACCAAAGTATTAATGGGTTATACAAAACTTTTAATGTATAAATACATTCATTAACAATTATAAAATATAAAGTGTGACTTAAAAGTTGATATAAAATAGAAGGAAATTTAATATAATACATAACATGACAACAAATAATGAGAGTAATCCTACAAATTTAGGGCTCGTTTGGGGCAGCTTAAAAGTGCGGGCGGCGTTTTGAAAACGCCGCCGTCCCGTTTGGTTAGCACTTATCAACAGATTATGGAAAACGACGTTTTGGAAAATGTGAAAGACGCGGCGTTTTGCGAATTATATTTTACCTATTAACCCTCATTCGATCCCTACTTCGCTCCCGTGACTTTTTGCTTTCCCTCTCGTGAGTTCTCGCTCCCGTGACCTAGGCCCTTGGACGCCTCCAACAGAGAATCCATCGCAAGTCTTGCCCTAATCTCTACGGATCCGGTTCTTTGTCGAACTGGTTCTTCGACATTTCACTCCTTCGCCATCTTCTTCTTCAGTTTTTCTCGCTACAGATATATCTTTCTCGTATTCCATGGCATTTGACTTTTACATGGATTTTGGAAGATAAGTATCTTAAGTAAGGGTTTCGTGCATCATTATTATGACATTTGGTTAGGTTATCTTGAAGGTTTTTTGCTTCGAATTTGTCAGAGATGGTTTTGCTTGGGAAAAAAGTTTTGTTAGAGGAATATGAACTTCATTTTGTTAGAGGAATGTGAACTTCATTACTGTCAGAGAAGATGTTTTTCCTTGGGGATAAAAATTTTGTTAGAGGAATGTGAACACAATTATTCATTTTTTTGATCTCTGAATGTGAACATAGTTAACATCTAGAAATGGAAGCCTTCATTCAAAGTGAGATGCGTGTTGCAGGGGGCTTAGATCTGTAAATAGCAAAAACTTTGACTGTTATACATTATCATTTATTGTTAAAATAAAGTGAGATGCGTGTTTTCATTCAGGAAATTTAACTTCTATATTAATTTGTATTAATTTTTGTTCGTGTAATTGGACTTGGGGATATGATTTGTAACATTCATATGCGGTGATATTTTAGGGCATTTATATACATAACACAATTCTTATGTAATATAGGTAAGGTGTGTATTATACAGTGGGAATTTCACTTATTAAAGGTAATTTTTTTTAGGGCTAATGGGAATCTGCTATAAGCAAATGCATGTTTTTTATTTTGAAATTTTAGAGGGTGGATATACAACCTGTTCTTTTGTTTTGTGATTTTTTTGCTATGAAAAGAAGCATTTTCTGCTTATTTGTTAATCTGACAGAACTCAATGAATAAAGCTAAAGAGGCTGAAACATCAGCCATGTGAGATAGAGAGGTAACTATCACATTTTGTGATTTATGTCTGAGGGAGGTTGAGGTGGGAAATAGACTCATTATATTTTTTAACAAAGAAGAGTGACACAATATCATGGTTAAATTCAAAGCAATGACTGGAAGAGATTATGATCGCATGAAATTGAAGAACAAATGAGATCAGTTAAAGAAGGATTGAAAACTATGGAAAGAACTGAAAAGTGGATCAACGGGAATGGGTTGGGATCCAATTAAGCGCACAATAGATGCACCAGAGGATTGGTGGGCTGAGAAATTACAGGTACATAAATAACTAATTTTATTTTATGTTGAATCTAATTTTGCATTGAGTTGAAACTATTTTATTAATGCACATTTATTATCTATATCAGTCAGTGCTATCAGCAAAAAAAATTAAATTCGTTGGCATTGATCCATTACTGGAGGAAAACTGGATGGAATGTTCACTGAGGTTGTCGCTACAGGAACTCATGCGTTCATCCTAAATGATATAGGATTTGGCAGCTCAGGCCAAGAGATGGATACCGTGCAGATAGGTGATTCAGAAGAAGACTCTAGTCATTTTCACACAGATGTTCAATTCACTAGTGTGCCTAAGCATCCTAGAGTAGAAAAGAAGAAAAAAGGGGTCACTTTCATTAAAGGCACTATTGATACACTTGTTGAAACATGCAAAGCTAGGTCATCTTCATCACAGGACAGCTCAATTGATGAGTGTCTTCAGGTCCTCAATATATATTCTAATGTTAAATAAGACGATGATGACTATATTCAATACGTGAATGTGTTACGAGATCCAACCATCAGACAGTTCTTTATGAAGTTGGAAGCGAAATACCGAGTGAAATACTTGCGATCTTTTATGGACGACTGAATATTTGAGTCATTATGTAGTTTATTTTCTAATATTCTGTGTTATGTTTCCATGATAGGCACTTTTCTTTTCTCCTTCGTGGATGTTTCAGTCGGTTTGAACTTTCTACCTGGTTGTTGTTTCTTTGATGGACAATTTTATTATATACGCTTGTATCTTCAATGTTTTGGCCAAAGTTCATGGGTTCTATTCATCTTTCATAGCATAGTTTTTTTTTCCTATTACTAAAGTTAATTCATTTTCCTTTTATTAATATTGTAGTATGGATAAAGAAGAAATCAACCACATAAGCAGAGTCGCACTTACC